TCGCTCAAAACCGACAACAAACACGTAGGGCCATGCACGATCCAGGCTTGCAGACTCGGGCATCGGGGATCTAAGGATCTCCAGACCCTACTGTCGGAGCACCAGCTAGTCGCAACCAACACTTGGGGAGTGCATAGACCAGCCACCCACGAACAAGGCAACTCTATTTCACAGATTGACTTCTCGTTTGTCAGGATTGCACAGTCCCAAGGCCCCGCCAGGTTTTGCCGGCCACTAAGGACCTTCCCAGTTGCATCCTGGAGGGATGGTAGTAGGCATTTCCCCCTTCTTGGTAAACTGAGGCACAGCAGGAGATACTCCGCCCAAGCCTCAAAACCCTATGACCAGCAGGCAATGGAGGACTGCTACAGACACCGTTCCCCGAAAATACAGGCATTTGCCAGGGAGGTAGACTCCCTCCTTCAGGATCATCCCCAAACCTGGCAGAGTCTCCATCAAGCAATGAACTCAGCCCTCGCGACTCACTTTCCCAAGAGAAAGGAAGCAGCACAAAGATCAGATCTCAGCATCTGGGAAGAGCGCTCTGTGTTGCGCTCACTCCCACTAGCAGTCAAGGTCTTAGCAGAGTTCTTGCCCGAGCTGCAGGTCCGTATGGTGTTCCGATGCTGGTGCTCGTTCTCCCAGCAAAGTGCACAGGCGAGGGTAGCAAAGCGTCACAAGCAGGAGCGGCGGCGGCAGGAAATAGATGAACAACTCCAGCAGGCAGAGCTTAAGTCCAAGCAGGACGGGAGTCATTCCCTTTACAAGGTAATCAAGCGCTTCAGGTCGGGGAGGCCCCAGGAAAGAGTTCAGCTTCGTGATTCTGAGGGTCGCTTCCTTACTGCCAAGGAAGAAAGAAGGCAATTAGAGGAATATTCCCTAGACCTGTTTGGAGCAGGGGATGACTTCCCACTTTCAGGGATACAAGGCAGCCTGCGCATCACTGAGCAAAAAGTGCAAGAACAGCTTGGCACAATAAAGCTGGGCAAGGCGGTTCCTAAAGAGAGTCCTCCCGTAGTAGCCTGGCGCTCCCTAGGTCCCCAAGCAATTCGGCTAATCTCGGACACCCTTGATAGGGAAGTCACTGCAGGAAGGCTCTCGGACAGTGTCACCTCGTCACAGATCTCCTGGCTCCCAAAGCCTCCCAAGAAGCCAGACAAACCAACCTCACTCCGTCCGATCGGGGTGATAGCACCTGAGGGTAAGGTCCTAGCCGGACTCGTGAGGAAGAGACTCAAGTCTACCCTCCAGCTAGCAATGACCGGCGTCTCTCAGTTCGGCTTTGTCCCAGGCAGGGGCACAGAGGAGGCTATCTGCAAGGCCCTCACACATGTGGACCAGGCCAGGTTCAGACAGGCCCTCACCACTAGGGCTGCAGGTAAGGGACAACAGGGGCTCAAGCTCAGAGGCAGTCTCACCATGAGCGTGGACATGAGCAAAGCTTTTGACACTGTAAACAGGCTGCGATTAAGAGAGGCCCTGGAAGCCGAACAAGCAGATCCTCTTCTGATAGAGGTGGTAGGCCATCTCCACATCAAAGCCTTGTACAAGATGACAGCCAGCGATCAGAGCTTTGAGATAGCCACACGCAGGGGAATCAAGCAGGGATGTAAGCTAGCACCCTCTTTATTCGCCTTTGCATCAGGGCTTCTCTTTAGGAAGCTCTCTGGGAAAATCAGCCCAGCAGAACTAGTGAAGCTCCTCACAATGTACGCAGATGATAGCTTGATCCAGTCGCATTTCGACTCTGAGGCCGGCCTCATGACAGCACTAGGGTACTGCGACCTGCTTCTGGATCAGCTGGTAGAGCTTGGGTTCAAGGTCAATCCGTCCAAGTCAGCAATTCTGCTACAGCTGCAAGGGGGCTCAGCCTCGACCATTAGGAAGAAACTCTTTCGCCAGGTCGAGGGAGAGAAGTATGTTGAACTCCCTTCGGGCAGGCTGATATCGCTGCGCTATCAGGTCCCATACTTGGGGGTCATTCTTTCTTATCACGACTATGAAATGAAGACTCTCAAACATCGGCTGTCATCCAGTAAGCTTGCAATGTCAGAAGTAGCCCATGCAGTTCGGAACCACCGAGTCTTATCAGACAGACGTCGTCTGTCGATTTGGACAATAACTGCGTGGGCCTCTGCTCTGTATGCACTCCACGTGGTGGGGATGACACAGCAGGGATTGCAAAAGCTCCATTCACACATGATGTACCAACTCAGATTCGTCCTGCGGAGTTACTCCCAGGAAACGAAGGAATCAAACCAGGAGTTACTCCGGAGATTACGGATTCCTCACGTGAAGGAGCAGCTGCAAAAGAGAATGACCCAGTTTATAAAGAGACAGCAACACTCCGATCCCCAGCTTCTCCCACACTATAAGTTGCGTGCTGAGGCAGTTAGCCAGGCATTGGAAGGCCTCTCCACGGACTTCTCCTCGCACCATGTGGAGGATAGGCTTCTGACCTGCGGTGAATGTGGAGCATGTCTCTCTGGCACCGGAGCACTCCGTCGCCACCTGCAGAAGGCTCACCCAGATTCTCAGCAGTGCCTGAAAGGACCCAAATTTGATCCTATTTTGCATTCAATGCCAGGGTCAGCAACTTGCATCGCCTGTCGAGCAACATTCCGAACAGTGTTTTATCTGCGCAAACATGTCGAAGCATCTACCTGCCCTAGGGTAGAGCTTTTGCTTAGACAGCAGGAAGAGCTACCCTTAGAAGCACAGAACCGGATCTCACTCGTAGAAAGTCTACAGTCTGATGCCCAGGACAATCCAGAAGGCGCCGCTCGAAATCCGGCGTTCCATGATTACCTGATGGAACACTGCGCACTCTGTGGTCAGGTCCTCGTAGGCCAGAAAGGAGCCAAACAGCATTTAAACAAGCAGCATCCTGAGGTGATGGCCAAGCTGGAGAAAACTCTCCAACCAAGACTCAATCAATTCAAGGTCTTCTTTCACAAAGGAGATAGCTGTCGATACTGCAAACTTCGTGTGGATGCCCCGGGTAGACATGCTCAGCAGTGCGTTCCATTACTGCAGGTGCACGTACTGCAGGAGGTAGCGCGCCAGCAGCTCAGCAAGCAGCCCCGCGAATATACTCGAGCAAAGTCCACGGCATCGGCGAAGACAGTCACAAAGAAGCCTTCAGATTCAACGCCAGGAATTCCTCACCCCGTGTTTAGACTGGAAGGCTTTCTCCTGCTAGCCAATACTCGCAACCACTGCTATGCCAACTCAGGTCTGCAGTGTCTCCACTGGCTATCAGATCCTTCAGAGGCGACTTTCCAAGAGGCATCCCGGATCAGTCAGCTTGCGAGAATAACCCCTGAACACAGAGTCTTCTCGGAGCTCACCATGGGCTGGCTCTTTGACGGAGGCCAGCACGACTCTGCTGAGTTCCTGCAGCAAGTGTTTCGGAATCTCTCTGCATCAAGATTTGGACAGTGGGAAACTAGAGCCTCAGTACCGGAAGGCGTGATAGTGGACGAAGAAGGGGGCTCTCCCATTCATCTTGCCACGGCGATCAAGACCAACCTACAGGACATGCTAGTGGCATGGTCGTCTCAGGAGCGCTCATGTGCTCTCATAGAAGCTGCACAGCAGGTGTGCTTAGCCTTGCCGAGATTCGCAGGTGAAGCTAAGGATCACACTCGCATCACAATCCCACAGCAAGTCCAGATCCCTGTCTTCCTGGACCACACATCCCGAGTTTCGTTCTGTACCTACACAGTAGAGGCAGTGATCATTCACCTAGGAATGGAGTCCACTAGTGGCCATTACCGTGCAGCTGTACGCACAGCAGATGCCTGGTATGTTGGTGATGACTCCCACCCCCCTAGTCCCTGTACCCTCGAAGATCCCCTGCTTCAAGAAAATAGCTACGTCATCTTCCTAGCTCGCAGCGCCGTCTCTCATGAGCCCCAGGACGTAGCCAATCTCCCGAGTAATGTCTCTGCAAGAGCTCTTCCAGCGAGCATCGATGGATGAGAGCTCTGCCCCTAAACGGGGAGACGCAGGTCCGTCAGGTGGAGATTCTCCCCTGAAGCGACAGCGTGGTGGAGGTACTCCCCAGCAACGAGGCAGAGGACAACATCGAGGGGGCAAAAGCAGGGGACGAGGAAGCGGAGGCCGAGGGAATGGAGCAGCCAGAAACCAAAATGGGAACAGTGGCAACACTCAGCAGGGACAAGATCGTCTCATGGCAGCCTCTTCCTGAGCCAGACGCCTTGCGGAGATGCTCCCTTAGGAGGAGACTCTCCCCAACAATCGGAGGAGTTTCTCCCCTTGCCATGTGTGTACAGCTGGTGGAGTTTCTCCCCAGCAGCTGAGTGCAGAATGATCTGCTGCCAATCAGCCAGTGATACATTGCAACCAAGCCGGTTAGCGTTCAAGCTAGTGCCGAAATCATAACGCCGTATAAGACTCTGAAGACACATTCGCTTCCCACTTCACAGCTTGCAGCCCTGAGGGGCGGAGCGTGTGCAAGTGCAGCGCTGAGGCACGGCTTGCCGTGAAGAGTGACCGCGCAAGTAGTAAGCAGGGCACTAGGTCGATCCCTCGCAAAGCGTGGACGATAAGTTTCACCACAGACAGTCCTCCCCCGCTGCGTGTGAATGAAATGTTGTTGACGAACATGAAGAATGCGAAGATTACGAAGCAGAACAAGATGATGACCAGGATGGTCCTATGAGGAGGAAGATGATTCTCACGACACGAAGACACAACAACACGACGACGACGATACCGGCGGCGGAGACGGCGAAGACGGCGAAGACGACGACGACGACGACCAAGACGACCACGGCGACCATGATCACCACGACGACCTTGCCGACGACCACGACATCAACCACGATGTGGGGACAGGATCGGTTTGAGGTTGCTGTTGCACGTGTGCTGCAAGCCGAAGCCCCATCCCTCCAAGTGTGAAGCTAAACCCAAAACTGCGCACTTGAGACCCTTGCGGTGTAAGCACGCCGCCTTCCGGGCCGCAGTGCTGTGAGGACCAGCGGACGACAGAGGATTCGCATGCCGCGGGGAAAGGCGAGCAACCAGGCTGGGAGCCGAGATCCGTTTTGTCCAAGGCTATACAAAGCTCGGTGGTTGCCGTAGTCCGGTAGGCAAGCCTGCACCCGCGTAGTCGTGCAAGATTGGGCTGGGGTGCTTCGATGTTCACGAGACCCGTGACCAAGAGGCCCATTAGCAGATCCATGCAAAGTGGCCCGCAGCATCCATTTATCCAACCCAATGACAACGAAGGCGTCGCCAAAACTTGTGACGTCAGGACCCACACCATCAAGCCATATCGAGCCACTCCGGTTTCGATCCATGTCCAATCTTTTGATATTCGCCTGCAAAAACCCTTGTCACGGCCGGTTAACATTGCGTGTCGTTTCAATTGTGGAATCCGTTTCTTCATGAGCCCTTCGCCCTCGCAGATGTATGGCTTCGCTGTGCAGTGGCCGCGGAGAAGGCCGCCCGGCGCGAGTCCGAAGGTGCGGACGACACGTCCCCGCCCCAATGACTTAATGATGGTATATGACCAAACCTGGACCCTGACTGGACTCCTTTGTGCCTGACACACGGTGGTTTAAATCAACCAAGCATGTTCATCATACATCTGAGAGCTACACAGACGATGCCTCAAAACGCCCAAGTCTCCAACCTTGCTCCTGCAATAGTGCCGGAGCCAGAGCTACACGAAACCAAAAGCCTTGTGGCCGAATCCCAAAGCCCGAAACCTCAACGCCAAGTCGTGTAAGCCTGCCTTATTTGCACCCGGAGGCACGAAGAAACAGGATCTCTGGGAAGCGGCCAGTCGGGAGGAGGCGGGTTTCGGGTTGAGGGGCTTGCGGCTTTCTTTTGTCCTGCAGGAGTTGGGGGATTGATGACTGAAGCACTGCTGTAGGAGTTGAACAGCTCCAGGAGTGTAGAGTCCTGTGGTTGAGGGAGCTGTGGGGTTTAGATGAATTTCGGGGAGCTTGTGAAGCTTCGATGTCTTTCGGACAAGGCGGAATTCATAGTAGTCGTCTGAGAGCAAGCATGTCCAGGAGTCTAGGCGGATTCGATCTACATGTTCGGGTGTAGTTGTGTTTAGGTTTAGATGTTTAGAATTGAGGCACGCGTAGTACTTCAAGCTCGACTTTCCGTTCTCGCCTGAAACCTGTACCCGAGCGCGTTCCCAATGGAAGGAGGGCATTGGGGTAATCTACTGCTTGTAATCTGAAGCATCACGTGTGGAACTTTACTGTCAGAACTTAAGCCAAGCCGAGGTCAGAAAAAAACATTCGCCGGTTATGTTATGCTAGAAATGGAACAGTTACCTCCCGAGCGACTTTTCGGCCCTTGTTGCCCTGACCAGCAGGCTCTCGTGAACAAGTTTCGCCGGATTTGGTATGGGCAGCCTGAGGATGTCCTGTAATGTAGGCCCTTGATTTATCAGCATCCTGGCGGCCGAACTTTCTGAAAGTCGCCCTTTGGATTGCTCAGGGGTTTACAAGAAATTTGGCAGCAGGTTGTGGCAGAATTGTTGTCTGTTGCTGAGAATCTCTTGCGCATCGTGCGCCGTAACGTGTGCACTTGCTCTTGCGCACTTGTCTCTTAGGTGCGAGGTGCTCTAGTTTCGCACCTCAGGAAGGACATGGAGAATTCGAATTGCCTGGTCTTGAAAATTGTGCGAGGTGATGACCGGTCAAGGTCTTGACAATCCGAAAATTGCCAGGTTAACAGCTGTAAAGGTATCAACACTTCTCGTTCCGTGCTGCATGCAGCATCTCGGGGCCTCAAGGTTTCAGATGAGGGTGTGGGGCTGCGTGGGGCTGCGCGGTCAGTTTGCAGTTTTGTTCGGCACTCCACCCGTCCCTCCCAAAGAACCTAAAGGCCCTTCCGATACAGGTTTTCTGCATGATTAGCCCGCCTCGGCCGTGTGAGCTTCAGGCTGATGCGATGAGCCAATGGATAGATTTGGTAGTCTCTGTTCCGCCGAAGTGTTTGGGTTTCCGGATAGCTCGTTGCCATGTGGCAGGAAGACGGGGTTTCGAGAAGCTTGCGCGCATTAACGCAGTACTCGTAGTACCCTCAGGTTGCTCTATGATGACAAGTCTCTCGGGAGATCGAGGGCTTCCTTTCTCCCGCGCGAAACTCTCCACGCAATGGCTGGCAAGAGTGAAAGCCACGGCGAGCTGGTCAAGTCAGAAATTTCGGTGCCTTGGTTCGAGAGTGTTCAGCCGTCATGGCTGCAGTTTCAAACTGTAATTTCGTGTGCAGCTTCTTGATTCTTGATGCTAGTTTGCCTGGAGTTTGGCTCCTAAAGCTTCCAAGTCCCCAACATATGGACACGTGATGTGCTGCCATGTGCAAGGTGATGCCGTTTGAGCAGACCACACTCGTTGCAGGCCGGGGTCGGCGATGGTTTCAGTCCGCTGGGCCGAGGCTTCGGGTTTCGCCGAGAGCATCTCAGTCTCTGGTGGAACATGTAAAGCAATGGGACGGTGAAATGCTCCCATTTGCGGTCAGTCGACATTGCTTGCTACTGCTTCATGACCATGTGCGGCTTCAAAGTAGGTCTGGACTTCGCAAAAGTGGTTCTGGCGGTTGAGGGCTTGCAATTTCGGGTTTGATCCGGGTGGTCAAGCGAGCCTGCACGACTGTAGCGTGGCTTAAATAACAGTGCGAAAAGCTCCAGGCCCTCCGCAGAGGAGTAAGATCGCCAGAACTGGGGTGTTGGCTTTCAGATTCGCAGATCCGCATGTACAGGCAGCCAGATGCGCAACATGGCCACGATGCTGGACATGGAGCGTGAGATCAACAGCCAACGGGAGCTGCCGGTGGGTCTAAAAATTGAAAGCACTTCCTTAGGCGCAGAGCACGAAGCTCCCGAAGAGCATGAGCCCAGAGCCGTAAGGTCCGTACCCTGCCGGCTGCACTCGGCAGGAACAGCTTATTCGCGTCACCTACACCATGGACCGCCAGGCAAAGTTTTGCTGTTTCGGCTGTTGCGTCGCAGATATCTTGAACAGCCATACCTTGCGACAGTATATTGGAAACAAACAGGATCTGTTTTTTGTCTATTTGAGGGCCTTCTGTTGTCCGATGCATAGGGAGGTATTGATTTGAGGTTGAGGATTTCGGGCTTTGGGTTGGAGCTTTAAATGTTTAGGTCCCAGGGTGAGGATCAGGTGATGGATTCAAGGTGCCTGCAGGGTTTCGGAACGAAGATAGCTTGTGTTTCCTCAGCCGTTGTACCCTTGCACCGCAAGCCCTTCGACAGTCTCTGCACCAATGCTCTGCCAGCGACATTCGAAATCTCAAAGCCATGCTAATGCTTGCGTCTTATCACATGAATCGAAACCTCGCCTTTGCTTATTTGGTCACATCTTGGATCCCGCAAGAGCTAGACAACTTACAGTAGAATCTTTTCGCGTCAGCCACCAACTTCCGGTCTGTATCCTGAAGATCCCAGGAGCTGACGCGATCAACCGACCACCAGGAAAGGAAACCTGAACATGTACACTAGAGGCACGCGGTGGCAACCGGAAGAACCTGTCTCCACCAATCCTGCACCTCCGCAAATTTCAATTTTCAAGCCTTCACGGTTAGCTCAAGCTCTCTTTTTCTGCTTTGACCCTGAGCCGCGTGGAGGTTGCCCGCCTCAGCCGCGAGATCGAGCTTCTCCAGGAACGCCAGGTGTCCGGGTATTCGGGGCTCCTGAGAAGATGGCGCTTTCGAAGTCACCCCGATGGCGTGCAGGCATCCAACCCTGAAGCCAATTGGCGAGTTCGAGAGGCTTGGATCTGTGACATGCGATGGCAGTCGGCGTGAAGCTGCGTTTTTGCACATGTTTAAGGCCTAGAGCCTAGCAATTGATCTCAGTGCCTTGTGGGCAGGACATCGAGGCACTTAGCCGGAGGCTGGATGCCCTGGAGGCGACTGTGGTTTCAGGAGACCCCGGATCCTTGTTACCTTGTCGCAAACACATCGGGTTGGATCCCAAGCTCGAAGCACTCAAAGGCCATCAATCTCCGGAGTCTGACCGGTGAGGTTCGAAAGACAGTCGGGTCTCCGCGGTCCGGGAACCAGGGTCTACACTGCGGAGGCTGAATGCAAAAACACTTGAAACTGAATCGAACATCTACGTACGTTGTTAGACAAGACCAGAAGCAAAAGATGACACCCTAGTTCTCAAATATAAAATGTGGGCAACATCCTCCAGGCCCACTCACCTACGTTCGAAGTCCCTCGAATAAAGAACGTTGCAAATACCAAAGGTTGCAGCTTACGTTCGAAGCTCCAAAGACGTCACCGCCCGGAGGCCTTTTGCCGTTCAGAGGCCGAGGCGAAGGCTGAGGCCAAAGCCGAGGCCGCCGAGCTGCAAGGAGACTCAGACTTTTGCCACTGCCACGCTAACACGGCCGCCCGAACCCATTTCTGGCATCTCTAGATTCCAATTCCTGCGATAACACCACTAGGATGCTTTCATACAGAGCACACGTTGCCAGGTGGACAATGGGCCGCAGTCAGCAAGCCTTCAGGTGCCTGCACCCTGTCTTCGCAGGTTGATGCCTTGGGCTGTAGGGTTACATACCTCGTGTGTTCCGATGGAGGATGTTCACGAGCAGGGTGTTCTCGTAGGCGGTTTGATGACATATCTACCGTTTGCATACGCTCGTGCGTCCGCCCGCGACGATGTCGAAGATGGTGGTGCCGGTGATGTCGATGATGATGTTGAGGAGCCCTCAACATCCGCAGCGATGGTCCCTGTTTTGGGGGCTCCTTCTATACTTATAGTTTTATACATCCCAAAACCCTATGGTAACTATTCAGGCCCCTATCCCTATTATAAATCCAATTAGAGGAACCCTATTCTAGTTATTAAGGCCACTACAACTACATCTGCAACGATGGCTCCTGCCCAGATCAGCACGACACCGCCCCCCCCCCCCCGAACTCCGCAAGCTGGGCCTCGTATGTAGGGGCCTTAATAGGTAGGGTTCCTGTAAATTGAATGGGGTTCCGTTTAATAGGTTCTATAAGGGATGCTACTACCACAATATAGTAGCGTTAATACTTGGAATAGGGCTTCGGGTCCCTTCTCATAGTAAGGAACTGCCATGTATAGGTAATTATTACGTTCTCCTAGGAATTTTGATTGGTTTGACGCCTGTGGCTACTGGGGATAAGAGGGGGCGCGGGGCAAGGGTGGTCCGTGCAGGGAGGGCCCTATGATGGCTACTGGATCAACTTCACAGGCAAAGACGAACAGGTGAGTGGTGGCCATCTTCGGGATTTGATCAGTAGAGTATCTTAACAGCCATTCTCTTCATTTTGTTAATGTTTGGTGATGTTTTTGAGTGATCTTGGGCTTCATGTGCCATAAGCACGCTCGAGGCCGAGGGTTCTCCGGTGCAGTCGTGGTGCTAAGCATTGAGATGACGCATCGTGCATTTTGTCAACTCACTCATGCATTGAGCCTCTTCCCAGCCGCAATAGTGAACTGTGTGTGGCAGCTCTTTCGCTTGGGACTGAGCTCCAGTCTGCGACACTGCAGGCCCGGAATGGTAAATTTTTGCTCCCGAACCCCATGTGGCAAAATCTTGACAGCAGCTGCACGGTCAAAAAAGAACGAGGAAACAAGACAGGCAAGGGCTTCACAACTGAATCGACGTTGCAGGCACAGATCCTCGCCATCCGCGAAGAGGCCTCGCGAAGTTTGTGAAAGATCCGACCAAAGCTCCGAACATGGATGGGGCCGGTGGATGAGTCCTCCTGAAGCCTCAACCCTCGGCGCTTCTTGCACTCGGGAAAGGCACCTCAAGCTTGAACAGCTTGAACGGGTCAAGCCTGGCGATCGAACCTTTGCACACTAAGCTGTAGCTGTTGGACGAAGTTTGCTTTGCAGTTCGAGGGTTGGGGATCTCAGAAGTCCGGATCGCAGGGGGGTTTAGGTTTCGAGGGTTTGAGTGGATTTGACGTCTTGTTTGGGCCTGAAGGCTTGAAGCAGCGCTCTTATTCACATCCCTTAACTGCGGTTGAGGGAGTCCGTCATGCATCTGAGGGTTGTGGGGATTCCGGCTACACCGGAACCCCAGCCCCAAGCCCCGAAAATGGAATCCATTTTGGGGCTCCCAGTTCGGGTACTTGGCGAACCTTTTGCAATCCTAAAGCTCAAACTTGGGTTCGACAGCTTTTCAATTTTGATTGGGAACTTCGTGCATCGACCCCAATCGCGGCAGATCCGGGCTCTCTCTGCAGAGTGCCATCTGGAGCAGACCCGTGATGTGGCAGGCACTGCTCCTGGCGCTTTGAGACCTGGGTTTGGGGTTATAAAGATCCAAAGCCCTTCGCGGATCTCAGAGGAAAACGCATGCCGTTGCCTGTCTGGTTTGTATTTTATGTGGTCAGAAGTGGATCGTGTGAGTCTCAGGAATATCCGGAAGATCGAGGCTGAAGCCCAGACTCGAAACTTTAGCCTAGGACCCGAAACCTGGAAACGGTGGACCAGACAATCCAAATTTCCATTTAATCCAAGACTAAGATAGACCACACGGAGTTTTTGGATCCTGGCTAGGTGTCCGAGCAAGGGCGGCCGTGGAGCAAATGGCTGCCAAGCAGCGGGCGGAGGCATTTTCGGGGTTACAAAGTTTCAAGTTTGACTTTTTCTTTGAAGCTGGGGTTTGGGGAAGGTTTGCGGCAACGGGTGGGTTTTGGTTTCAATATCTCGCTGGCCTTTGCCCCGCACCCTTGCCCAGCGTAGTTCTGCATGTCTCAAGTTGTCTAGAGAGGCCGCTACAAGCTCAAGCGAAACTGGAGCCCTGCGTAGACAGGAAAGCTGTCACAGCGTCCGGTCAGACCACGAAAGCTCCACACTTCGCCTTAACCCGAAAGGCTTTCTCTTGGAATCCCGAAAGCCCGAGAATATACCGCAAACCTCAACCCCTTTTTCTGCCGAAGCCGAAAGAAGTCACAAGGCTCTACCTTCCATAGCCCTGAAGTAGTCCTGCAGTTTGACGTGCTTTAGTTATTACCACAGTGCAAAGTTGTTGGAGTTTTTTCTTGCATGTGGCAGATGGAGAAGCTGCACTGTCAAATCGCAGATCTGCAGCGGTCCATGTCCAGCCAGGAGAGCAAGTTAGTAGAGGGTGGAGTTCGAGGCGTGAGCGAATCTGTTTCATTCTTGGTTCCAGTCAGATCTTCCTTGCGAAGCACCCGCATGGCCGGGCGTAGCTAGGCAGCTAGGCCTTTGAACTTCTTTGAACCTCAAAATCCTGAGATGCAAGCATCCCAGCACGGGGAACTTCCCCAAACCCTGCAGAACCCCGAAACCTAAAATGTTGCCTTAGAAACCTGAGCCCCGAGCCAAGCAGAAGCCGCAATAACTAGGCCCAACGCCCAACACCCCAGACCCAGCAGCATTCGCAGGACAATACTCCGACATCATCCCAAGGAGAAAGCTCGCAGGCCTTGATGTCGATAGATTCGAGAGTTTATGGGAGGCTGTTGGATTGAGTGGAAGGGGTCTGGAGATATCCGGACGTGTCTTCGGCATATGGATCAACATGTTTTGCGTTGTGTGGGGCTTGGGATAAAAGCTGAGGGGAGGCTCTGCTCAAAGAGGCACCAAACGGATTTAACTCCGCTGGGTCCCAAGCAAAGCTGCAGTCTTCCGCAAGGACATTCTTATTGTTGCTTTTGTTGATGACGATGATGGCGATTCTTGCCATCTTCTGGTTTCTTCCCGGGCAGAACGGTCGGTTTGGACAGGTTTAGATGCTTGGGAAAGCCTTGGGTCGCAACTGATACCGAGAAAGAAGCCGCCCTTTGTCTACCGAGTCTACCCATGCACATGCATTCAGCCTTAGAGCCGTTGATCTTCAAAATCCTGAGTCAAAAATATTGTAGCCTTCGAACTTCAACCCTTGCCTCGGACAGTCAATGCAACACCTTTTGGGCTCTGTGGAGCCAGTTCTGCGGGCGGCGCTGGACCGCCTTTGTGGGAAGGGTGCGGAGGGTGGCTTTATTGAGGCTTGACGGGGCTTTACGGGTTGGGGTCTGGGCCTAATGCCTCGGACAAAGATTGTGAAGTAGGCTTCAATGGGGAATTCAGTCTTAAGTGTTCACCTTTAGCAGATGCGGCAGCTGGCAAAGCGAACATGGAGTGGTCTGAGCTATGGCATGCTGGTCGGAGCCTGATGCCGCCAACGCAAGAGCTGCGAAGGTGGTGCGGGCCAAACTGTCAGGCATAGAGAAACATGCCAACACCACCATCGGCAGCACCAGCACAGAGCAGCACCAGCAGCAGAATCAGGAAACTATCGAGGCTGCTGCTGTCAGTTTATAGAGAATCTCTTGCCTTCATCCATGTGCGTCGCCATGTCTAGCAGAGGTCTGTAAAGGATTCAGCGACTTTGTTTCACTTCGCATCGCAAATCTCGAAGGTCCTAAAGTTTGACATCGACCCCAAACGCGACACGAACCTGAAACTTGCAGCTCTCTTTCTGCCGTCGGCGTTGCACGAAACATCACCGATCAGAGGAGCAGCAGCTCGGCCGCATCGTGGCGGACCTCCGTGGCGACACAGCAGCACGCTGTGCTGAGCTTAGGCTGGCGTCGGGAACCTGGTGTTTGGAGGGCCCGTTGGTTCAGGTTTTTGCGCAAGTATGGGTTGTTGGATACTCGAGTTGGGTCGGAGGGCTCTTCAATGTGGGTATTGTTGGAGAGTTGAGCTAGTTAAACATGATGGTGCTTGGTGCTCGTTTGGGACATCCGTCCGGTCACAGTTCTTCAGGATTCCGTTTCTTGGTCGTGGATGGTTTCCAGCTTGGACAAGGGCGGCCACCGCCGGGAGTAGATTCCACCTGGCACCATTGAGGTTCAATTCAAGAGAGCAGTAACGGTCGTAGTAAGCAGTGGAGGTGGCAGTCGTGGTGGTGGTGGTGGCGGCGGCAATAGCAAGTCCGAGGAAGAGGAGGGGTTCAAGTAGCAATGGGAGTGGTGGTGGTACTAGTTGCTAGTACTAGTTACTTGTGTACTAGTTTTAGTTACTTGTTACTCGTCTATACTGGTTACTTGTTATTAGCTACTAGTTACTGGATACTACTTACTAGTTCTGGTTGCTAGTTGCTAGTGCTAGTGCCAGTGCTATTGCCAGTGCTGTAGTATAGTAGTAGTAGTAGTAGTAGTAGTAGTAGTAGTAGTAGTAGTAGTAGTAGTACTAGTAGTAGTAGTAGTAGTAGTAGTAGTAGTAGTAGTAGTAGTAGTAGTAGTAGTAGCAGTAGTAGTAGCAGCAGCAGTAGCAGTAGTAGCAGTAGCAAGTAGTAGTAGCAGCAGCAGCAGTAGCAGTAGCAGCAGTAGCAGCAGTAGTGGTAGTAGTAGTAGTAGTAGTGGTAGTAGTGGTAGTAGTAGTGGTAGTAGTAGTAGTAGTAGTAGAAGTAGTAGTAGTAAGTAGTAGTACGCACGTAGTACATATTTGACGCTGCGTTGTCGTGCACGTCGCCCGCATAAAACACTGTGTTTTTCGATGTACGCAGGACATGGCTTGTCTCAGTCAGGGGGGCTTTGATTTTGGATCAGGATAGTTGTCAGCAGTTGACTCAGCAGTGTCGGATCATGTGTGTTGTCAGCAGTTACTTGAACTATGCAAGAACAGGAAGCTTTACAGGGGAGCCCACACACGGAGCGCAGTTCTGAGCCATGGCTGGCAAACTCTTCCAAGGCCCTCAGTTCCCCGCCCACCCCCCCGAACCCCCCAACCCCCACCCCCCACCCCCCCCCAAGCCAAGCCAAGCCAAGCCAAAAACAAGTACTGAAAATTTATTCCAAGGCCCTCATAGGAAAAGCAAGGCCCTCATAGGAAAAGCAAGGCCCTCACAGGAAACGCAAGGCTCATACGAATGATGTTGATGATGTTCAAGTTCCCCACCCACCCCCCCCAACCTCCCCAACCCCCACCCCCCCCAAGCCAAGCCAAGCCAAAAGCAAGTACTGAAAATTTATTCCAAGGCCCTCATAGGAAAAGCAAGACCCTCGTAGGAAAAGCAAGGCCCTCATACGAAATCCATAGACCTGATACGAACACCAGGGCCGCATACGAAATCCAAGGTCTCATCAAACCCAAAGCACAAAGACATCCCCGCTCTCAAGCTGAAACCCAAATCTCAAAGATAGAATTCCTAAGTCAAGGTTTTCAGAATTCAACGCCCCCCAGAGAATTAGTGAAATGTGCTTAGAACTCGAGTTTTGGGCATGTGAAGTAAGGAAATGCATAGCGTCAATTATGCACTATGCTCTTAGTAATAGTAGTAGTAATAGTAGTAGTAGTAGTAGTAGTAGTAGTAGTAGTAGTAGCCAAGAGAGCTTCCAGTCATCCAGGTTTCTTTTGTTTCATACCACAACAAAGAATCGCTCAACTTTTCATCGCGACTTTGCGAACCTTTCCGGCAGGCTTCTGTCTTACCGCAGGACGCTTATGCACAGTTCCTGGGCGAGTAATCGCTTGGCCTTTGCCAAAAATCTGTGATAAATGTGTCGCTGTATAGACTTCTGGATGTGGCGGATACCAAAATTTGTTGGCCAGCCGTTCTGATAACATCAAGTCAAAATGACGGTACCTGTTGCCTTGACATGTTGCTTGCCACATTTGCAACAAGCCGCTTCTGCGGAAAAAATCGCTTGGGAACCTTGCAAGGCAAACTTCATGTTATAGAACCAATCCAGTTTGGTGCCCTGTTTCCATTGCCGACGCCAGCCGGGCCATCCAACGTCTATTCCACGAGGCAAAGATGTCATGAGGTGTTCAATTTCTCCTGCTGTCTTCTGGAACTTGGCGTCAGCTTCAAGGAACCAGACATATCCAATATCTGCGCAACGTTGATCGGAACGATAGCGGCGCAGCAGTTCTGAGCACTTGCAAAACCGGTCTGTGATTTGAAGCGCTTATCTTTACACCAAAAACTATATTTGTTTATAGCAGTTTCACAGCTAGTCTTCAAAGAAAAAATATTAAACGAGCAAAACCAAACATACACTCATGCCTCCAGAACCATCGGTGCTGCACAGAGAAATGAACAATCTCATTTGGCTTCAGGTTTCGTCCCATATGTTGGTCAACATTACATCTGAACCCGTAGACGACGTGGACTTTCGTGGCACCGACATGCTTCAGTTCTTTGAGAAGTGGAGCGTGGACACCGTGATTTCCAGAATGAGAGAGTATGATGAACAGTGAGTTTTTGATGCAAGCTGGTGATTGCGGTAGCACCAAAGCTTGTTCTTGTATATGCCAAGATCTGCATCGCTCCAGTGTTTTTCTCTTTGACTCCGAGGTGGTATGCCACCAAGAATTCCCGCATGTGCAGCAACACCACGGCATGATCAAAAAAATACGGTGAAACCGATCACTGGAAGATTCTCGTCTATGTCATGACTAGGGTATTAAATTATTTTCGCTTCGAAGGCTTCGAACCGTTTGCCGTGTATAGCTGGACTACAGTGTAATAGTAGGTCCTTAGTAGGTGTTGTAGTGATGGAATACGGTAGTATCTGTGTGTATAAGTTTTTCAACTGAATCGGATTTGGTTATGCTTGTTTAAGACATTTCCAGTGATTTGATCTTTGTCGTTATTGTCAGGATCCTTGCCAACATCGTTACAACTTGAACCGCGAGCTACATCCGATGGCTCAGACCTTTAGACTCAAGGCTTTAGGGGTTTCAGACTCAAGGCTTTATCGGTTTAAACACGTATTGAACCTAAATTGAGAGTATTCAATTTGTCGGCACACTCCCAACCGTTCTCCGAACCTTTACCCAGAAAAACCGACAGCCTGGACATTCCTGTTGCTTTAGAGCTCCGCATGTAATACGCTTACACGGCGTGCGATCACAGGGTGTGGAGTTTGTTCGGGTTGGGGGAACTACGACTGTTAGCTTAGAGTTCGCAGTTCAATCTTGTATTACTTGGTCAGACTTCTACATGAGTCATCGCAGCGTGCGAACGTTCGTTCTGCACCAAAAGATATTGTAAGTCAAATAAGCCTTATAAACCCTAAACATTCCTAAACCCTACACCTCAAAATCCAAAAACCGCTAACCCTAAACCGAAAAACCCTGAATACCCTAAGAATTTGACTCGAAATTCGAGTTCAGCGAAAATATAACTATAGAATTAAACTATTGAAACTTGAGTTTAACCGATAACCGGAAGAACCGCAGTTGCGATGTTGCTGACGAAGTAGAACAAGCAACCTTGGCTGGATCGAAATTCGCATCCCTTCATTGAACATAGCGTCATAGAGAGTTCAGAAAGTACTTCGTCTCAATCGACCGCGCCGCAAAGCGCCAACTCTGAGAACTCAACAGCACATAGCGGAACAAATCGTGCGTGTACATTTCTGCTAGTATGAGCAGGAACTGCAGGGAAACATACAAGGAACAAATCGTACATATACAGTTCTGCTAGTATGAGCAAAAACTTAACGACACATGCCAGGAACAAAGCGTACATACACAGCGGTCCGGATGCTGACGTCCAACTGGAAACAAACATAACGGAGCAAATCGTACATATACTACTCTGTTAGTAAACTACTCTGCTAGTATGAGCAAGAACCGCAGGGAAACATACAAGGAACAAATCGTACATACACAGCGGTCCGAACGCTGTTCAAGACTCAACCGTTCACTCAACCAAAAGACATGGAAGAATCTGTCCATATATGTCCATCAACAACAGTCTCGTTCAACAGAAGAACAAACATAAGAGAACAAATCCTACATGTACCATGGTTCCAAAGACGACCGAGCTTGCGAAGGAAATCATCAGCGGTCCCAGCGATAGACAGGACTAAACAAAACACATATCAGTTCTTTCATGGTGCAGCACTCAAATCCCCCAGAGTATTGCGTTCGTGACGGGGCTGTACAGTTGTCACTTGTCGGTGTTCATAAAAGAACGGTCGAAGTCTTCGTCACTGCATTTCGAAGACATCTACTCCTACAGCTTGCATCTAGCCAGCACACCGCACAGTTCGTGCGCGTTGCTTTAACACATGCATGCCTGCGGCAAGCATGAAGTTACACCTCACGATATTGCCGCAGATACGACGGACATAATCGTAAAGTTTCTTTTGGTTGCGAGCCGTTTCCTCCAACCGACATTGCAGTGAAGAAAGATTACAAGCATCGCGATCATCATCATCATCTTCAACGACCCACAAAGGACGCAGAACTGCCAACTGTACAGGCATAGCCGCGTACTGATGCACATCCACATTCGTATCAACAAGGTGACCAAGAATCTCAGTCAGCAAACACGCTGGCAATGCCAGGTACGGAGCAGTCAGCCACAGTGCAAGCTTAAGTTTTTCTGATTCGTTCTTTGCCCATTCCTGCTCAAAATTTTCGAAGCCAACCAAACACTTCCTGTCGGCTCTGCTGCGCTCTGCGCAGAAGTGGTGCGAACAGTCGTCTCTCCCGTGTGCTGATAACTGCTGGCGTCTGGTTCCAAGCCGACTGGAACATATCAAGATTGAGAACCTCGGGCACATACAGTATAGCATGGTGACCGGATGCACGGGATGTGGGTTCATGGCGATGCAAGCTAAGCCAAGCCACTACTCCGATCACAATGCGTTGCAAATGCCGCATGGCGGCTGTGATTCGGTACACACATCAGAAAACATCAGCAAACATCAGCAGGCTTCGGACATGTTCTCCTTCACAATTGGAGTAGATGCCTTCGTAGCTACAGTCACGATGCAGATTTACAGGAAGTCTCGAGACACGACACACAGAACCCAAACGCTGCGGGCCCATAGCCTGCGCAGCAAATGTAAAAGCAGCCCCAAAAACGAGTCACTGTACAAACTCTCGCAGAGCTGGTAGGTAACACAGGCAAGCCAGCTGCATTTAGCTACGCCTGCGCATACACCTGTACATGTTTTTCAGCAGAACATAGTGGAGTAGTGCGCAGCCACTACGGAGCTGGCGGCGTTGAACTTGTCTACTTCGGCGTTCCAATGGTGAAGCTGGAATTCCCGGACTCTGCTTTCAATCGTGGCCTCATCGGCTTTGGTACTTTTGGGTAAGCCGACAAGCTTCAGTTGCCGCCACTGCCGCCACACATTATCTATGAGTTGCGTACCCTTTTGAACCCACATGACATCCGTCTCGCTTTGCTTCAAGCTGCCAGCGAGTGCTTTTGCCTGGTCACGAGGTAGCCGATGCTTCCATAAGGCTGCGTATACCGGTCTAAGCTTCTTGTTCTTGACAGCATCTGTCACCACACCTGGAATCTTGACATACCGATAAGCTCTGGCACCATCAGAGTGCAACAAGATTTTGCGATTTTTCAAGTAGCGAGATCCAATACGTTTCCAGTCCTCCTTCGAGATCGGGCCTGCTGGGCCCGTGGATCCCTTGCCTGAGCCAGTCCTCTTGACAGATGTGGTTCGAATCTTCATCTTCACAAGGACCAAGCTTCTGCGATTTCCTCTTTCCAGAAGCCCAAGATATTGGTGCCATGCTACCCTGTTGCCACAGCGCTTTCCTCGTAAAGTCACCTCGTCGACTTCACACTCTACCCAGCGCTGCAGATGTCCGAAAGGCTTACTGTCTTGCTGCTGCTCAACGAACCGAACCAAAGCCTGCCGCCACCGCTGCGACAATGACTGAACTGCCTTCGCACCGAGCCCTGTGAGAATGTGGACTTGGCCGGATCCCAGTCTTGCAGCGTTGCAGAACAATACTTGCACTTGCTGTCGCAAAGGTATGTGGGCCTGTCCCCAAGCACACGTAAAAAAATGGGTGCCGGGAATGTGGTAAGATGAACTTACGACACTTCCATCCCTTGCACCGCTGCACCCACCCGCGAGATCTATGAAAGAAAGCGTGCAAACTTTACCAGTCTTGCAGTGGGGGCATCGCACGAACTTCCACAGGATTCCAATAGAAATCAGATATGTGATAAGCTTCTTTTCCGGCCACTGCACCAGGTCGGCGAAAGAAACACACCATTTTTGATGTCGCAGCTCTGCTTTGGTCATGTCGTCCAGCTGCTGTTCCACGGGGATGTAAGGCACGTCTTGACGCTTTGGCTTCTTTGTTGCCCTTGCTGGCTTGCGAAGTACCAGTCGTAAGGTTCCACGTCTCGGATTCGGGGATGAATGCACGCTGGGCCGCTGGGCTTCTTGATTGCGCTAGAGCGAGCTACCTTTGTACTACTAATGTCAACGAGGTGTGCTGGGGGAAGGCTTTGTTCATCGTTCCGCCATGGGCTTGCGCAAACGCCAAAATGCATGTGTACCCAATTGCGCTATGCATGCCGCATGGAAACCGTATTAAAGGCCTTCCCTGTTGCTCTGTGGAGCGGTGCCCAAGCTGTGCCTGTTCGTTGTGGCATGGCAGTCTTGCTGCACATGTCAGTTTTGCCTCGAGTGGTTCCTGCAAAGGCTGGTAACTTTTCTACATGCACAAATTGGCCAAATCCTGGACGCTGGCATGTCGTGGTTGGCTTCCGTCAATGCAAATGAACGTTCGCGCCCAAACCCTCCAGCACGTTTGAACACTTCGAGTGCACCCGCAGCATGCAGATTTTTCACTGTTCTTTAACATCCGGCGAGCCTAACACCAGGTCGTAAGAACCGTCAGCTTGAAACTGGCTTTCGTCGAAATCCCAATTGAAGAAATAGTAAAGTGTTGCTGTGTGAGTCTTGTTCTCCCTTCTGTGTTTTTTTACAAATGATGCTAAGCTTGCCATTCAGCGATAATGTAAGCTTGAAGATTGTTTGGCCGGTTACAACGGGCTCGTTTACGCAGAGTTTCACGATGAGATGTTGCCAATAAACAGCCTCACATCAATCAGCGTCTCAATAACTTGCAGGCATTAGCTGAACAAGTATCGCAGATGTCGACTTGCTTTTCGAGGTTGGCATACGAGATAAGGCTGAGTGGGTACAGCAACAGTACGAATATATATATATATACACATATATATATATATATGTATATGTTTTTCTTTTCTTGCTCAACTGCATGCATTAGCTTCGTTGGTTTAGTGGAGACGGCACGAAGTTGTAAATATCCGACCGAGTCGCCGAGGTGTAGCAGTCCGAAACGTTCATAGTGCTCAGAAAACGATTCAGATATGGAAGAATGCCTGTGCTTCCAATTTTCCGGTTCCAGTCCGTCAGTCTGACCGTTGCAACCAGGTGCCCGCTTGTAAAGGGGCAAGGCACATGCCAGACTTGATGGATCACACCTGTTGGATGATGCACTGTGGTTGTGCGGACTAGTTCGTATCACGCATTGCCGTGCCAGGGGAAGTTCGTACTATATGATACGAACTAAAGGAGCTGTATGATACGAACATGCTACGAACACATTTGTCATGATACGAACCATAGTACGTTATGGTACGAACTACAGTCAAGAACGGCAGCATCAACCTCACAGCGTGTTCTGGTTCGAGTCATTGTCCGTAGCATGAAAAACCGTATCAACTTCGTCGGTGGCGTGTTTAGTTCGCGGTGTATAGTACGAACGCCTTCTCGTGCTGCAATCGCTGACACGAGCTGATCCGCAAAACGAACGGGCATCTTTGCGACAGTTTCGTTCCGTCAAGATACCGCAGTAACCACATCCGTAATTTTCAACGCAGTGATTTCACATCAACTTGGTGGCACGCGGCACATGCTTGGCGTCTTTTGTACTTTTGCCAGCGCCTGACCGGTGTTGCAAAAGCGATCTGCATAGCTTGAACGTCCGTTGTGGACTCAGCTTCACAGCATTGTGTTTGTGTAATCTTTGTGATTTGTGTTCACCCTGGGTTTGACGTGAAATGTGCAAGTTGGAACTGTTGGAACTGCTTGATGGTGAGGCTGTTCTCCGTTGGGAGTTTTGGACTAGTATAAACTGTTTCAAGAAAGAGACATGAAGGGTTCTTTGATGGACTTTCTATATCTGGGAATCGTCGTTTCGTGAGTTTCGGCATGGACGAGCCCGCTGCACCCGAACAAGCAAATTTCAAGCCGACATTGTCGCTCAATGCACGGTTTTGACCGTGCATCCTAAAAGAAGGAAGAAATCAGAGCCAGCTCAACAACACTTTTTTGCTACCGTCGGCAGCTTCACGGACCAACCACATTGAATTTGTCGGCTGATACGATCTCGCGCCGAATTTGCAACGACCTAACTCGACATTGTAATGTCACGGCCGGTTTTTGCCTGGCTCCAGCGCTTTGCTAGACTGTTACCCGTTTGCAAAACAAGCAGTTCGAGACATGTAGGACATGTGCAGTACACAAGAGGCAGCCACACCCCTCCCGGAGCGTAGGAAGCAAGAAAAAGCCGTTGACATCTTGTACACGACGATTCCGCAGGAAATTTGCTGCGCGACCGTTTTCTGCACGGAATGATGCTCGTTCATGCCGCGCAGAAAACGAGTAGCACACCCGCTCCCCCAGGACACGTCGTTGACATTAGTACTTTGTACAATACAGCAAGGAATTGACTGCGATGCAGCAAGTCCAGCAACTACTACTTCTACAACGGTTTTTGCTGCGGATTCGAATATGAATGCCTGGCGCACACTGCCTTTGCGACATGGCAAGACAAACAAGTGCTCCATGCAACTTAGCAGACGTTGCAATACGTTTTCTGACCTGATGAGAACGTCAGAAGATTGGCGAGCAATATCGCGCATCAAATGGGCAGACCCCTGCACCTGGTCATACCCGTAAGTAGCCCCAAAAACGAGAAACTGTACAAACTCTCGCAGGGCTGATGCTGGCAAAGAAGCATCAAGCAGGCAAGATTGCATTCAGCCATGTGTCGCTTGTGCTTTTCATTCTTGTCATCCGATTTAACTAATATGAACCGCGAAAGCAAAGAGTCACTGTAGAAGACTCTCCACACAGACCACACAGGATGACCAACATCAAGCATCAAACAGACTACATTCAGAAGAAGGGAAAGCAATGCGACTCATCAATCAGGCAGACCACTGCATCCGGCCATACCCACATGCCGCTTGCTCTACCCAGAGGATCCTTCCTTCACCATTACCTTTTCTTGCCTTTGCGTTTGTCGCAGTTGTTTTGCCAGAAAGCCTGAAGAGCAGAGCTGGAGATTTTTGCACGATCCAATAGGGCAATGTCGAATTCGTCGTTGTTGTCATTGGGAAACGCCAGTATGAGGCAGTCCTTACTTTCATCATAGCTCCCCAGCGTTGTTGGCGCTGCTCTGGCCAAGGATCGGAAATGACTCACTGCGAGCGGCTTCACAAGCTTATCTTTTTGTCGGGCGTCGTTGTAGATTGCTCTGTTCTTGACGATGTAAGGACCGGTGTCCGAATCCTTTTCAGCCTTCATGAGCAAGCGACGCAAAAGCTCGGTGTCAAGGATACCACTATGCTGAGCTTGTGGGTCCCACGATCGGTCTGGACTTGTCTGTTGCAGTTGCGCTGACAGATGATCTTCATCTGACTGCTTCCTTTTGCGAGTAGCCTCCGCAGCAGCTGCCACCGATGTAAAAGCCGTCGTGCCAGAATGTCCGGACATAATGGCAACAATACTCTCTAAAATCTCAAGCAAGCCAAAAGCACGCGGTACCACATTTACAGTCACCAGTACTGGCTGTGTCTGGTCGGCGACAGGTGCTTCAAATTGTTGCCATGCGATGTCCCACAATGCCAGGCTTGCACTGAGCAGTCCAAGTTTCCATGGACAGCAGCCCAGTTGGGCAGCTTGTCCGATATCTTCGTCTTGCCGGGCCTGTGCCACCAGAATATTGAAGTAGGTGCTGTAGGACTGAAAGGCTAGATTTGTTCGTCCGTGAATCGAAGCTCGCGGTGGTCTAGCTCGAAAACATCTGCTAAGCGGTTGGCAGCTGCTTCAAGGCTATACTCCTCCGGAATGTCAATATCCCGCACTGCCATGCTCCATTCTGGCAGCAATGTCGTCGTCATTTCGCCTGCGAAACCGGATGCGCATTGCCACCCCATCCGGCAACACATATTTCCATCCATCAGTCTCGGGGAAGTAGCCATCTTCCGAAAACTCGATACCAATGCTATCTGCAGGATCATTGCCTGCAGGAAGAAAGAATTTCTGAGCTTCTTCAGGCGATGAGACACATTTCAAGTTCAGCAGATCCCTCAAAACATCAGGTATTGGACAGAACATAACCTGCGCCCGGACACCACATGACTCGTACTCCGCGTGACGCTGCACAGGAGCACCGCTCGTAAAGAACATACGCGCCTTGGTCATGCAACCGTGGTCTCCGCGGAGACCGCGGAGCATTTCCACGCACACTCCCGGATGGAAGTTTCCGGATACAGCTGTGCAAACGCTAGGCGAGTCGATGCCTCCAAACGACCCGTTCGTCTTCGTCTCATGCGACGATGTGCCTGTCTGCATGAGCCTGTTCGCCCATGACGAGTTCGGCGTTTGCCCAGAGGTGTCCGGGCCACCTGAAGACTTTTTGGACATGCTATCCAACACTCCCAAATCCATCAAGAAGTCGTAGATCTCGTCAAACAGAAGCAGCGAACTGAACCAAGTTCTTCCGGATAGCCCGCTACGTGCAGCAACTTCTCGCAGTGATGCTGACAGGTTCGACTCCGTTACCGGTGGCAAATCTTTGAAGGGTTTGACCGATTGGACAGAAGTTGAAGTCTCCGGCACATCGTTCATATATTATAGAATTATTATGTATATATATTTATATGTATAGATACGTATATATATATATACACAATGTATTTTATTATTTTATTATTTTATTATATATATATATATATATATATATATATTCTCAACACCCCCCCCCCCCCCCCCCCCAAGATCCACGCCTGCCCTGCCCAGGTACTGGCCTCAGTCTTCGTCGAGCCACCCAGAGCGCGGTACATCAACAAGATCTTGCTCTACCTGAACCTTCGTAGCTGAGTAGGTATTCTTTAACCTTTGTGGGGTTTACATAATCCTACCTACCTTAAGTGAAAAAGTTAACCCTTTTAGGGCTAGGGTACTCAGCCCCCAAAAAACAAGGAGATGGAGGTAGTGTGGAATCTCAAGACCATTGTGCGACTTACCGTCAACCCTAACCTTAATCCCAATATCCTTCCAAATTGATACCCTAAATCGAACACGTTGTGGCCCCGTCTGAAATTAAGAGTAGACAGAGAGAAGTAGCGAAACATGCCGTTCTACAATACCATGTGGAAGACGCATCTGGCACGGGCGTTTCCAGTGGACGTGCTTGAAGCAATCATCGAGTTTGCGAAGAGATGCTGTGCTATCATACCAAGTTTTTTTGTTGTATGTACGGACCGGAACGCAAGCTCTTCTGATTTTGGATCACAAATCCTGTCAAGATCCTCCGCTTGGGCCCGTGCCGTCTGCACCAGTGGACTGGGAAGTGCATATCGATACACTTCCAAACGGCACTTGGCTGTTTACTCCTTTTTTGTTTATATAGTTTTGAAGCTCACGTATATTATGCTCATGATGCAGATGCAAAGAGATCGGGTCATGCAGTACCGCGAATTGGTCTACAAAGTAGCCCGTGGCGGTGATCAGTTTCTGAGTGAAGAAGACATGTTCGCCCTATCCCACTAAGTGGGACAAGCGTCGATTCTCACAGAATTTGCTGCAAGCATGGAAAACATGCGGAAGTGCATGCATTTCTGTGTTTTGCTTCCCAGTTCAATTAAAGCGGTCACGCCTCCGTCGTCTCGTAGTTGATTGCGTGTTCATAAGCATATCTTGGTATATGCAACATTTTCTTCTGCCACCGAGAACAAACAAAAAGTCCTCGCATTTAGTATGGAGCATCAAGCACACAATCCTTGCATGTAGTGTGGAGCATCGACGCAAAAATCCTCGCATCGAGTATGGAGCATCAGCAAAAGTCTTCGCATTCAGTGTGGAGCATGGAACAGTAATCTCATCCCCACATCTTGCCGCAAGCAATGCCGACGTTATTTCATGAACCTTCGGAGAGAAAACCAAACTGCAGCCTGCGCCTTCCTTTGGAACAATAGCTAGGGGAGCTGCCTTGCCTCGGCAAATGCCATCGCAGGCACCATTTTGATTTCGATGCTCCAGCGGTAAGCTGTGAATCGGCACCCAGCGACTCCTCGCGCACAAAACATCGGCCCGAAGCAATCATGCATCAGTCCTGCTCCACATGGTTTGCCGAGACGTCGGACTCATGTTCGTACTGAAAAGAATTAGATCGTCCACATCCAACAATCTTTGCCGCAGCATTCACGGTTCCAGCAAGAAACTTAGAGTAGAATGGTCCCTGAATTCTGCTGCTCCAAACCCAAATTTTAGGGACAGTACAGCACTTTAGGGCCGATTCGCCGCAGCGCGGATATTGGGAAAGAAGTTGTACATTTGAAGTTGGTTCAGTACTTCAAGTAATCAAACATACGATGCAGTCTGCAGATTCTTTGTCACATTTGCTCGTTGCGAGTCTTGCTTCAGGACCTGGGGATTGTGCCGTGTCAGCATGACGGCCCAAGCCCACCAAGCAGGGAAAGCAGAGCTGCAGATTTCAAAAGAGATCCGGCATTTTGCGCAATGCAGCCTTGCCTTCACGAAAACTGAAGGGCTAAAAGTCCTGTCCATTGTCGAGTCTGCGAAAGTGCTACTCCGAGAAGTCTTTGCATCGCTTCTGGCCGGGCCGCAGGATTACCAGCCGGTCCTCTTTCAGTATTCGGCGGACACAACTCCTGTGGCGAATCGCAAACATGTTAGCTTGAAAGCTGGCAGCTTTTCAGTAAGGCGATCCGGGACTTCCACAGATGAGTTCTTGGTGCAACAAGTGTTCATGACGACTTGGACGGACTCAGGGCAGTTGAGACATGGACTCACCTTTTCCGATCCAACTCCTCTGCGCCACGCCAAGAAGATGTCTTCGCTAACTGCTGTTGCCATGCACTGCCCTGGCATCAGCATTAGCGCACCGCAGCGTGACCGCGTGCAGATCCGGCATCAAGTGCATGATCGTGCTGTGGGTCACCGACTCGTTGGGGCATTGAGTGGATTCTGGTCCATGCGCGGTCAGAAACCCGAGCTTGGTGCAACGCAGAGTGAGGCCACCGGAAGCAGCTTGTATGACTGGCACAGCTATGTGGCCTGTGCCAGCCATGACGCCCATAATGCCTTGAAGTGGGCGCACCAGACCCTCTTTGCAGATACCGAGCTTCTGGAAGGAGTTTACATCGCAGTGAGTGCCATCCGTAGTTCTTACTACACTTGCGCAGATGCTTTGGGCAGTTGGCTGGTGCAGTCTGTGCAGCCCGGGCTTGCAAGCACCTTGCCTCCTGAGGACGACTTGTTCGCGTTGTGGTGTTGTCTTGGCGTCGAGCCTGAGCTGGCACGCAAGGTGGCCGAGATGCGTTTGTTCTGGCGCGATGGCCGCCTTTTGATCCTGCAGGAATTCTTCCACACGGCGGATTTTCTGGAAACTGTGTCGACCTGCTTGCTGGCTTTGTGGCGTT